TTTTTTTTTAGCAGCTGATTTTTCTCTGACCTCAGTGCCGCTATTGATTGGATTAAAATATGAAAACGATCGTTTCCATTGGTTTGATCATTCAACATTCAATTATAGCGATTTCTTAGAACCTTATTATAAGTCACGTTTTTATGTGCTAAAAAAAAATCAATGCCGACGATTTTTCATGTATAGTCCGCCAACATGTAAGCATTTTGAATTTATAAAGAATATTTAATATCGAATGTATAAATGGATCGATAAGCATTTTCGTCACGATCAATATTTTATATTTTAAATTTCATATTAGCTTCAATTAATCTTAATAATTATAATTAGATCGAAAAAAAAGTGCTGTTATCTTTTAATGACAGTATGTGAAATACATTTTTTCTTTTTAAATTTGTACACATAATTTTATTCTTTTTCACAATGAGATTGTTGGAGAATTTGTTCGAAAGGAATAAAAGATAGACTATGAAATAAGCTATTGAAATTGACATCATCTTAATTACCAAGTACGAGTGTAAAATTATTTACAGAAACATTCTCTTTTTTTTCAGTTGGCAGAAGGAGATATTATGTCTTTGATATCAATTGTAAAATACGATTTTTCGAGTTCCGTGTTTTATGTCGATATAAAGTGCCACCTGAATCGGTTATTTTTCTTTTTTCTCAAAAATTTTGCTGATAAAAATATCCGTTAGTTTATTTTATAGTATATATGGGTTTATTATCATTAATTGACCAAAAAATCAAGATTTAGAAATAAAGTTTCATTTGTATCGAAATAATTAAATTCTTTAATAATTTTACATTAAAAAAAGGATCATCAAAAGTATCAATGCAACATATTCACCTTATGCTAAGTACAGATCAAGCCATTCTGTTTCATTCAATATTCCTTCAAATGTTGCTCATTTCGTTTGTCTGATCGTAACCATTGAAGAAAATTGAGCTTAAATAATTAAAATGCAAAAAAAAAGGTCAATGACAAACATTGAAAAGAGAGGGCCTATACCAAAGGTTGCAAGGAAAAGGTTTTCGAATGATATTCAATGAAGTTAATTTCAGATTCCCGAAAAACTTGAACCTGATTACTCTAAGGAAAAAGCGGTATGATCTTTCATTGTAACTAATAAAGGAATAGCTAAAAAATGCAACTTTTCATAAGATTTTATTTTTTAATTGAATAGAATAATAACACTTCCTCAATCTTTACTTTGCTAAAAACTTTTTTTTAATTTCATAAAATTTATTATTTTAGACTACTAATACGTATGTGGATTACTATGATTACTGGAAGGATGGTAACGTTTTTTTTCTGATTAGACTTGAATTTCTATATTTTATTTTGCAGTGAAAAATTTGCATAACTTTTTCCTTCCTGAAATGACTAGAAGAAGATTAATTTTGATAACAACTACCAGTATAATTTACAATCTTAAATTGAATATATTTCAATTAGAAAGAGAGAATAGGAATATTTTCCATTGTCTCTTCTTTTTTCAATACATTTCGAGTAAAGCAACTCCTCCGGAATATTAGAAACACTGTTATTTATCGATCTTCCCGCTATATAGCAATCATTTAACAATCATTTTCATTGATTTCTTTGATTTTGATCGAGAACAAATTCTTCAATATATACAATTTATCTTTTTTTAATCGATTTCATTCATATACAGAAATTGAATGCGATAGTATGTTCAACATGAATAATTGATAATTTCAGATTAATAGAAGAAATGGCTGCCACCAAAGCAATAATCGCCAAATCATTTCGTAAGATTTATCTTAATTTCGTCAAAATTAAAATTTAATCTTGACTGACAATGAATTGATAGCGCAAAAATATCAGTAGTAATGAAATTAAGTGAAAAAAAAAATTAATAATCAGTATTTCGATAAGGTTTTTTTGTGAACAAAATTTGAATATCTGTAATCCGTATATCTAAATTTCAACATTCCCAAAGAAAAGGTATATTAAATTGAAATAGAATAGAAATTCTTATTTATGGATCAAAAATGTTTCATCACAAATCAAAAGAAAGAAAAAGAAATCAACAAATCATATTTCAGAGCGTTATACTTCGTGGGAAATTCGTAAATACGTGGAATTTTTTTTTTTTTTGAAAATGCGAAGTTTATAAAAAAAACATTATTTGTAAATAACTTTGTGAATAAAAAATAAATTCTTTTCCAGACGAACAAAAAAAAAAAAAACTGCAAAATTTAGATAATAACGAACACTGTACAAATTACTTATCGTTGTTACAAAAGTTATAATTTATAAAGTTGTACGTAAAGCTCTTCTCTCTTCATCGATATTTTTTTGTCCTATCGTAAACAATGCATCATTCAAGGTATAATGTAACAAGTAATGTTTGATTTGATATTGCACTGATGGGTGATGTATTAACCCAAACGTTGACATTCGATAACAGTGCACTGGAAACGGTAAGTTTATTGTGAATGAGAAATGGAAAATTGTATTCAAGATTGTTTGAGATTTATTCTATTGATTTTGGACAGAAAAAAAAAAATTATTAAAATCAACCAAATTGTTAGGACGATGAAATATAAAATATATGGATGCTAAAAAACTAAAAAAAAAAACATTTACTTAGTTTAATTTTCTTAAAATTTCATAAATACATTGAATTATTTAGTTTTTTCTGCCTTATTTGAGGTCAAACTATTATTGAAAGATAAAGTTTTAAAAATGAACAATTAAAAAAAATTTGTTCAATTTGCATTTAAAGATTGGAAACATTTCATTTGTATATTTCATGCTCCTTTTACACCTTTTATTCATAGCAATGATCGGAAAATGTGAATTTGAAATGTTTAATCAAAACATTCATTAATGTGTAGTTATTAGTAATTAAATAGGCACAGTAATTGTTCTTGTTCATATCATACTGTTATCATATCATATCACTATTACAGTTATATTTCATTGCTGCGTTGTTATCATAAAGCAATTTTGATGGAATAATTCCATCCATTATTATGTTTTTTTTTTCTTTTTATTTTCATATATTCACAAGCGTAATATATTTTGTTAGATCAAGTCATTCCATAAATTACTAACATTTGCTAGAATTATAATTTCAATAAAACCGGTACGAATTATTTTTGTGTTACAGTTATAATTTTTGATAAAACCAAAAATGAATTACTTTGTGCTAGAATTATAATTCCAATAAACCGGAATGAATAACATTTAACGGTTATGTTAAGATTATAATTCCGGAATGAGTTATTTTGCATTCTTATTTTTTTCCCGCTCCCATTCTTTCTGATAAAATTTATGCTACAATTTTGCGAAAAAAAAAAAAAATTGTTGCATTTTCAGTAAAATTATATAACATTTTTTAATAGAATAGAAAAACATTACAAAAAGAAAGTTGTGTAATGAACTTTTAACTTCAATGTACACTGTGAAAAGTCATATTTATTATTCGGATAACAAAAATTAGCTTATAACTTTAATAGAATAACGTTACAAAAAAAAAAAAAAAAAGTTACAATGAATTTCTAAATTCAATGTATAATATGAAAAGGTTATATTTATTTGAAGTAACAAAAATTACCATTATAGTATTGAATGAGATCAATTTTTCTAATTGTTAATGTTTGATTTGTTTTAGTGGTTTGTATGGGTAGGAAAGATGAGAGTTGAGTTCGAGAGGGCAAGAGGGCACTGTATGGGAGAAATGAATATGCTCTACCATATAACATTAACCCGCCAATGATTTCATTATTAGCCATTGCACTACTGAATGCTGCTGCTGCTGCTGCTGCTGCTGCTCCTCCACTGGTCATTTGGTTTATATGTATGAATGGGTCAAAGGTTGCTTGCAATATATAGGATTTCTCTAAATCTCCCATACAACTATTATCTTTCATTTGCTTTTCTCTTAAACCTCCACATTTTCCTCATTCTATTTATTTCACCAAAATCTCCGCCTAAATCATAATATTTTTCAATGTCGTCATTTTGCAGATGTCTACATTTTCCACTTTTTACGCAAGCTCAAGGAGGGAAGCTATTTTTTTTTTCTTTGTCAAAATTGAACTCTCTCTCTCTCTCGCTCTCTCTATCTCTCTCTTCTCTTTTTTTCGGTCTTTTTTTTTTTTCAGGCGGGAATAAAATGGGTAGCAATGTTTGTTGGATATATAAATCCATAGATTATCATTTTCACCTCTCATTTTTTTCACAGTCACATTGTTCGAACGATTATTCTCCTACCACGCACACACGTACACACACGCACATGCACACACGCACATGCACACACGCATGCTTGCTTAATCGGTTACAGTTGATTATCGTTTATGAGCTGCTGAGGTCACTCGTATAATCGTAACGCTTCTTTTCTCGATTTCAATTTGATATTAGCAATGAATTAATTCAGTTTCAGTTTATACAAGTTTTACATGTGACTATTAAATGCGACATTTTATTAGTTACAATTGATTAGTTGCTATTAACAATATAGAGGTCGCTCATTTCGTCTTACCTTTCTAAGTTTTACGTGTTTCTGCTCAAGTTGATAATACGAATTAATTAATTTAGTTTAACCCGGACATTTTTATTCTCAAGAATGTCAATTTTCGCAAGAATTTCTTGAAAGATTAGATTTCGTTACATCATACACGTGTGTTACGTCTTGTTTAGCTTTGAAATTTTTTTTTTTTGGAAATTATAGGATTTTCAACTCTTTGTCTTACCACTTACTATACTACAAAACTAACAATCGACGTTATGGCTAAGACAGGATCGAAGGGATCAAAGAAGTCAGCTAAGAGATCAAGTGGAGCATCAACATCAAAACAGAAAAAAGCGAAGAAGGTCAAGGTGAGTAGTTTTTTCCTTCGGCTTTCATAAATGCAGCCATATTACTATTAATGATTACTTATCATTAATGATTAGACAAGACATTGGTTGCTTTGACCCTAAGCTGATCCAATCGTGGCGTGATATTTGTTATTTTCAGGCCATTTCCTGTCATATTTTCTGAGATATTTTGCAGGATCCGAATGCACCAAAGCGAGCCAAGTCAGCTTATATGTTCTGGTTGCTGGAAAATCGTTCTCGTATAGCAAAGCCTGGTATGTCCGTCATTGATGTAAGCAAGGCGGCAGGTGTTGAATGGGGCAAAGTAAAAGATAAGAGCAAATACGAGAAGTTGGCCAGCCAGGATAAGCAACGATATGAAGCGGTTAATGTTTTCTTTTTTCAAACATACGCTTAGTGTTAGTATTTTATTTTTCTGATCTTTTTTTAAAATTCCATGAAATATGGTATGAAAAAATTGAAATTATAACAGTTGCAATTGTGTTTGTCTAATATTTTGATCAATTAGACTTTCAGTTATTATATTACTCGCAATGATGTTCTTTCAAACTATGATCATAATATATCATTTGATCATAGATTATCCACAGCGTGATCATTTTTTAGTAGATGTTTCATAATTTCAGTTGGTCAGTTAATTAACTTTATGCATAGTCATAATAATGCAAAACAATATCAAAAAAATCAGATGCGATTATGCTATAAATTGATCTGTTTTATGTAATTATTCTTGAGAAGAACAAACATAAAGGAATTCATTCTTCAAATTCAAAACGGATTTCAGGAAAAGAAAAAATACAAGAAGAAATAAGACTGAAGATCGAAGGCCACAGTTTTATTTTTTTTCTTTTTTCTTTATCATGCATTCTTTTTAAGCTGTTAATTTTGATTTTGCTTAATTTTGCTAAGATTTTTTTTTTGTGTAATTTTGACTTTCGCTCTCCAAGAACTCTCTCCCTATCCACGGCGCACTCTAAATTTTATCATTAAAGTCTCATAATGGATATTTTCTTTTCAACAGAAGCAAAAACTGAGGTTCATTTAGAATAGGGAAGGAATTTAACGGGCTGCAAAATTCGGGTCAGGGATCTCTTCAGCATGAATCATGTTTGATGCTTAACTTTTGACTTTATTTTATCGCATCCCTTCCGAATATTTTAAATTCCTCTCTAATTATCTTGCTTTGTATTGGTCGCTAATTAATGAAAATACCTCAGTGTTTTTGGGTGCGCCTAATTAAAAAATGTTGAAATAAAAATAAGTAAAAAAGAAAGTTGTGAGTATCGAATGTTGGTGAAACTCCAATTGTAGTACCATTGTTACCTTTATATATCGTTCTCAATATGTATTATTGATTTACAACTAAAGAAATTTAGTAATGGAACTGTATGAGATATGGGATGGACCAGTTAGAGTATGCACTCCCTATTGTGAGTAAACATCGTATGGAATGGAAAGGGCGAAGCTACTTTCTAGTGGTATCAGTTTTTTGAACTAATTTGTCGCATGAGTTTGATCATTGATTTATCGGGCTGGGTGCTTTCGAGAAAAACCAATGGGCACGGCCATTTGGCTATTAAAAAAGTTGAAAAGAACGAAGATTTAAAAATTTCAACCATTTTTGTAGTCATATCCCTTGATGGGGTTACCGAAGAGATATCAAAATTATATGATAAAAACTGATAACTTATTCGCTATCGAGCCGAGGCTATTCAATTTCGGAGTTTTCTTAAACTCTTCAAAGCATGACTTAACAAGAGTAGTTTCCTTTCGAAGATTCCTTCGAGAAATATTGCAGAATATCGTCTGGGTAATTAATTGATTGGTAACATATAGCTGAACTGAAATTTTTGATATATTGAGACTTGTGGTTGTTATTGCAGTTGAATTAATGAGCCGAAAAATCGAGAAATCAAGTCTTAAAAATCAGGTTGAAATTTATTCGAAATTGTTATCCAGGAAGTATGGTCCAGATGTTTTTCAAATAATTCTAAACGATGTTCCGTGTTATTGCTAATCCTTTGACGACCACAAGATGTCAAGCAGTTTTCCAAAAATTTTCAAGCGTTGCGCATTCTTCAGTATCTAATCAAAAGGTATAATTTTTTCCTATGTGCTCTCATCAATTTTATTTATTTTAACTGTCGAAAGAGATGAAATGATAGATCAGTATTATAAGCGTGAGGTAACTGCACAAGACTGAGCATAAAGTGACACCTCAACCACCTTTAAGAAAAGTAGGTCGATAATTTTACAATAAAATCGATATAGTTACTTTAAGTTTTCATTTGATTTAGTTCAACTACTTACATAATCATCGGCTAAAAGAGTAATTTCTGTATGGACTCATCACTGTCAATATTTTCATTCAGGATCATTAGTTCTATCGTAAAGAAAGATGATCGTGATCTAACTTTATGTGATCCACAATGTTTTCCTGATTTGTGCAGATGTATATTTACTCTTTGCTGCTTCTGAGATGTCATTTAGCTCGAAATGTTTCTTTCAGTTTCACTTTAGGGAATGAAAATGGTCAAGTAGGTAAGTTAGGAATCTGTAATATATTAGCTGAAGCATTTCAAGCAATATGAATATTCGAAATTATTAACTGGTTATTATGGACCGATGAATTCATTACTTATTTGATTAGTGTTGTGATTTATTGAATAGTATATTTTTCAGACGTCAGAACTAAACATATTAAGAGATGGCAATAAACCATTTATTCTGCTAGAAGAAGACAGATCTGTAATCCCAGTTTTTGATTTTAATCGACGATTAGGAAATGTTTTTGCTCAATTTCGATATCGATATTTATTTGAAAAAGAATTCACTGTCAAAGGCTTCCTCAACGGTGCAATACAGGTAATAGCGATAGAAAATCGTTCATTTTGATAGAAATTGTTTGAAAATAAATTTTCTACTCTCGAATTTTTATGATGTTATTTTTGATCAGAGATTGTGTTTTAAATTAAAACGAAAATTAAACAGAAAATTTAACACAACCTAGGAGTTTCATAAGTGATTTTAGAAGGTTCTAAATTATATCTTTTATCGTTCTCAGTTTTAATGACCGATTTTAGAATGACGAAAGAAACATTCATGCGCGGTAATAGGAAGGAGAAGTAGAATAATTTTTTAACATTTCTAGAGGAACAGATGTTATTTAATTATAAAATCATAACTTTTGGTGATACATAATTGGTGGGAAACGCTTCTTGTTAGTAATACAAATTCGAGGCCCGATTTAAGATCACATACAACTAGCACTAACCAGTAGATCAGAATTCTCTTACAAAATATGAGATGTAGTGTTGTTGGTTTAAGAATTATTGGCCGCACACTTATGGCCGTAACATGAAATTTCACTATGCGTTATTATATTAGTAATCACCGGGATTGTTTCTAGGCTGCTCAATTATGTGCGGATTATATTCGTCAAGGAGATTGGGGTAATTTAAGAAGGATTATGATTGATGATGCTGTTTCTGAATTGCAAACGCGATTTGATCCATTCAATGTGGAAGATTTTGAACGATTGAAGTTCTCTATTAATGATGTTATTTATTCTGTTATCAATTCATCTTATACGTGTGGCAAAATACAACCAAAGAGTTCGTTTTTCTTTTAATTGATTATTTATAATACTTATCAACTCGACGTTATATGTCTTTGTTCAATCTTCTTAATCCAATTTTGAGTTTTTTTTTTTTTTAATTTATGAGTTTTAAACCAAGAATTACTAGCTTATTTATTAGTTATATCTCTCATAAAGGTATTGCAAAACTAAAAAATGCATTAGGTTTCGAGTATTTTCCGTAGTTTTTTGTTGTTCTACCGTCAAAGAGATTAAAACTTATTCCCTTTTTTGCTGCACATAACTTTTAACCTACAGTCATGATTATTTCACATGATTACAGTAAATAAAACTTTCCCGCAAAATGTTGTTGATAAACTTTCTTCTGAATATTCAGTCAAGATTTGCACTGTACACCTTCCTGATTGTAAACCATTTTTGCAGATCAGCTCTTTTTCTGTTCTGGACACATGTCTGATTAAAATAAGGGCAGTCGGATATTGTTTCGTTATTGCAGCATCTGGATTGCGGTCATTCTTTCCGGCAAAACATCGAGCTTTTTATTCACAAGCTATCATTTACATTAAGAAGAGCAATATCGATGAAAGTAAAAGTATTGAGCGTTTGCTAAGGATATTACCACCAGGAAGCTTGCTTATCTGTAACATCACGTAAGTTTTTTACATGCTAGAGGGATAAAAAACCTATCAGAAAAGAGAAGCCTTCAGCAACAACCCAAGAAAGCAGAGCAGTCTTTTCAGCGGAAAACAGAAAAACGTATTATGAGGAGTAATAAAATAAGCGAAAACTGGAAGAAGCTTAATGTGTTATTCAAGATAAAGGAAGGGCATACAGTATCGAATCAAGATGTTACTAAAAATAGTGTTCTTTTCATTTCTCCTTTCATGTTTCGTTTTTTCTTTTTGCTTTTCATTTTTTCTCTTTCAGTATTACCTCCCATAATCTACAAAGGGAAAAACTCTGCAAAAAGCACTTGTAGAATAAATGATGATTTTCAGATTGTCGAGAATTTTAAATCCGCTTGGAATGTGGAAAGTTACACGAATCAACTTTTTTGATTACCCATAATAACTGAATCAATTGTCGCAAAATTCAAGATGGTGTTGTCTAAATGTGCCGATAAAGATCATGCTAAGTTTGGACTTCACGAACAGTATATGTTTGTACCATGCCGACAGCTCCTCTAGTCTTAATTTCTTGTCTTAAAAACTTAAAAATTTAAAACTTTGCAAGAACTTGAAGATGTTTTTATATTAAAATCTACACTCCCTACTTATAAAATAAATGCAACAGTGATCATTTATTCAATATAAATTGATGTGTTGTCATCTGAAGGGCCTCCCACTCTGCTTTGAACGCTTGCTTCGGATCTTGAGGCATTGCCATTGCTGCACCGCTCATCTGTTCTTCCATCATCCGAGATTGATCAGCTGCATTGTCTTCACCCAGTACCAAAGTGTAAATTGCTCGTAAACCAAATACATTTAAGAAATACCATGAGGCGGATGATACCCATGCAGCATCCAAGGATGCCAGTTCAATTCCTGAAAAAGTTGCGGACATTGGTGAAATTTAATCTAATCTCAGGAATTTTCCTTAGCAACTTCACTTCTGAATTTCCATTTTCAAAAACCAGAGGAGCAAGATACATATATATGGTTTTTTCCTTCAGTTGAAATCTAACGTAGCAAAATTGAGTACTGCTTCACCTGAGATTAGATTAAAAAAACTGCTATGATTTATAAGGATAAATTCTAAAAACGAAGAACCTCTTTGAAGCATTGGCTTAAACCTCAAAGTAAGTGGGAATGGAACTCGAGTTGTCACAAAACCACTAAACGTCCAGTTTATCCAACCACCAATGACGATCATCGGTAGAACGTTGAATAAATTGCCCTTTGAAAAAGAAAGAAAGTCAGACTTTCCGAGCAAGTTATATTTTATAGAATGGTATTTTAACATTTACTAAAATCACAACACAATGAAAGGACATATATACTGTGACGATGAAGCACTGATTTTAGGAAAATTTAATGACTTTGTAAGTAAACAACTAAATCGTGGCTTCACTATTTTCACTAGTGATTGAATAACATATCTATCGTTTTCTCAAATCCCAAGGATAAAAGGCATTTTTGCATAAGATATATACTTTATTACTAATCTTTGCAAGCCATGCAATGCAACGATTTTTTTTTTAATTTTTTTTCAATGAATATTCAAATTCATGCAGTGGATTTAGGTAGAATACATCGGCTCAAAGTCCGCAATTATATAAATTATTCTTAAGAATTAATTGTATAAATAGCAAATTAATATGAAGTAATAAATTAGGATAAAAAATAACCTTCAACATATCCGTCATCATTGTCGGATCAGCCATTGGATTCTGCATCTGTGATGGTCGTCGCATGCCCTAAAAAATCAAGTACTTTTCAGTGGTAAACAATGATATCGATTCTGTTTGATACGTAGTTAATCGAAATTTTACCTATCCACTACAACTTTTATTTTCAGCCACAATTTACCTACACACATTAGACATTGTGCAGTATGTTCGCACATTTTTTACAGCACAATGAAATAGCTACTATAAATCTTAACTAAAACTCAAACAGTATCAAATGGTAATCTAAGCATCACGGTACCAAACAGTGACAACATCATTGTTCATCAGTATAATGAATTAAAAAATAATCCAACCTTTGTTATATAACCGTTTTCTTCATTTAGCAAAAAGTTCTTTCGCATATTAAACGATGCTTTTGGTAAAAATCGTCCGTTTTCTCGCAGTAATCGAGAACGTATCAAATACTGGCTGAAAATTGCAAACGAGAAATAAGAAAATATTCGCAGATACGAAAGAAAGATGTAATGAAGTGATGACTGATGAACTCCAAACTAACGAAAGAACTCCTTAGATAATGAGTTATCTATTAAATACTTTCCATACAGCAAATTCCTTATTAATATATCGCAGCTGACTGCTACTTATATAATATTGGAATAATACCTATCTCGCACTTGCTGCAACTCCAGCTTCTTTCTGCTCGTGAATATCAAAGCTACGTAATGCCGCAGTACTCCAACCAAAAATGTAATCAGGATAACTGGCAAAAAAACCCATGTTCGGATGGCTGGATCGAGCAGTAATTCCGTCATACAGATATAGTTCACAATCAACTGTTCATCGATTACAACAATTACTGATCTGAAATTGATAACAAAAAAAAAAACTGCTCCAGCTCACTTACGGAACTCGACGATGACCTGTAGCTCGTAAAATCCGAATATCCTGTCAAATTATCTCTTCAGGCAAATCTCAAGTGAATGCGATGATGCACTATTATCGAGGCAAATCTCAAATGAATGTGATGACGCATTTCAAGCAAACCTCAAGTGAATGTGATGAGACTATCTTACTTTTGATTTTCACTTAACGCTTCGAATATTTTCAAGATCGATCGTCGTTTTTTAGATGTAACATTACGTGGCTCAATTTCCATCTCACTAACACTGCCATAACTATTCAGATGTTAATGATGCATATTGAACAGCTATTGGTAAATACATCTGATTAATGATCGTTGACAAATCAGATTTCTTTAGCACTTGAATAAAATGAAAAAGAGCGTTTTGAACTATATAATCTGAAAAACTCAACCAATTCGCTAACTATAATACCATTTTTCCTTCATATTTACAAATAGCGTCAAATAATTAGGTGTAAACCACTCATTAAAAACAAAACAAATAAAAACTGAGCTTTTATAGAAATCTCGTTGAGCAAAACAATAGAGAAATAGTAGGCATTCACAAATTAAAATCAAAAAACGATTGTGGCAGAATTCTATACAAATTTTCTAGCATTACACGTTCCGAACAGTTTTCTTCGGCATTGGTAGCACTTCTGAAAAATTAAAAATTGGAGAGATTCCAAAATGAGACGATTCAAATGGTTTAAGAAATCCATAATTTGAAACAAATTCATTCTTCGCACTTGAAATTCTTGAAAAATTCAAACAATATACTATAATTCAGGCAATATAATATACTTTATATAATATACTTTAATTTGATAATATACTTTAGTCCGATTTATATGATCTGATTGTAATTCTACTGATTTTGAAAAAAAAGTACTATGTGATAATTATATACAAAAAAAGAGGATCATAGCCAGCACACTAAAGCATGAGGGAAGTATTAATAATCTTAAGCAATATCTTTGAATGTATCGAGATAATTTCTACTATTACATGACTACTTTATAAATCGTTATCAAAGTCATTACTAGAATTCGCAAGATTAAAACAATTCCAACGTAACCATACTTCATAAATAATTAAAAAGGCAAAACCTATATAATATTTCCTTCACAATTTTGGTCGCAATTTTCGATAAAATGTACACAGTGTCATTGGGAAACAAACTGGCAGCATTTCGGTGGCGTAAAAGAAGACATCGTCGAATTGTTGCTTCAGAGATTGTTCGAGTTTTCATTATGCAAACTACAAATATGCTACAAATACAAGAAAAAAAACCTCCATTTCAAATATTTGACTTCTGCTCTTCAATTTGAAAACAAAAATCTCCTTTAAAACGTTTGCATCACGTTTACAGATATTCCACAGCTGGAAATATTTCGAAAGTATTAAATTGAAATTTAAAATAACAAGAAAAGCTGCACTGCCAGAGACGCATTAAAAAAATTTTTATTTGAGTTACCAACTCCGCAGCACAAAGAGGAGAAATCTTCGAATTACGATTATAAAATATTGCATAACTGCCCCAACATAGTCCCATTTAGATATAAAACATTTCATGTAATTCACTCGTTTGTTGTAGTATCAGTGGTTTGGACCATTTGATGTTCGCCTGCCTCGTTTGATTTGTGTGCTTTATATCATATTTTATCAAAATTTGATGCTAACACGATAATATCAAAATAAACTGCAATAACAACAATTATTTTCAGATAGTCATTTACTGTCATATGAACATCATTGATTGATGAATTCATAAAGTAACTGAGATCTCTCATTGACCGATTCAAAAACGTTGAGTAAGGCCACTATTTAAACCATAAGCTCCAAATTAATCACCGATGCTAAACACTGTTCTTACGAACTTCGACATTTCGATCAGATAACAGAAGAAGCGAAATCCACGGTATTCAAAATTTTCCAAAAGTTTCGACCGGATAACTTTTTTGGACGACTCTTTACCGAGACTATCTAGTTCGAAGAAAAATTGATTGTTGACTGAAATGTGGAAAATGCAAAGATCCAGATTCAAAGATAACAATGAAAAAGTTAACCTAAGCTTTTCGATGGCAACAACAAAGGTAGAGCAGTAAAAGCCTTAAGAATAAACTGAAAAATCAAAGAAAGCAGCAAATTAGCAGAAATTCAATGAATCGAAGATGCATACCTCCTTGAAAATTACAAGCTTTCTAATTTTGTAACAGAGGAGAGTATTAGATGCATTCTGGCACGTATCGAATGCGCCTGTCGTTCATAGAAAGCAGCACGTTCATTCAGTAGCTCAATTTTCTTCGTAATAAAATCCTGCAGAAAAAGGAATCAAGTTAAAGATAAAACTAGTACTTTTATCAATAATTTAGAAAAAAACAAAATCGTATCTGTAAAATTTCACTTCAGTGACTAAAAAAAGAAAAGCAACGCAATGAAAGTGTCAATAAAACTACGCCACAAAATTATGAATCAAAAATTATTTTCTGAAATCAAAATGGCCTACTTCTGCTCGTCCCAAAGTTAATTCAGCGTACACATCATCGTAGAGTTTTACGATCACGCGATCCCATTTATCACTGTAACGATAAAAATTACAGAAAAAACGATGACTTACACAAATTTTGAATAAATCGAAAAGAACTTATACTAAAACTAGAACAATTTCTGATATTTTTCGATATCTACCGATTTACCCTACTCATCAATTTTTTATTAGTCACACTGATTTCTGCAAAACGTCTTATCTTTGATAATAAGAAAAAACTTGAAAGACCTTTTTCTTGTATTGTTAAGTGTTCAACAACATAGCAAAGTTAATGTAGTTATCCTTACAAATGTCAAAACCCATCACCAGAAACTAACATCACAGCCTCACAAAAGATATTTTTACCAATATTCATTTGTGTTTTCAACGGTTCTTCAGGTTCCAACATCTAAAAGCTTGTTAAGATGTGAAAGAAAACAATGAAAAGCACACGATAATTTGAAATACGAAACTGAAAAACACCTTTAATGATTTAATTTCCAGGTGCTGAAGAAAACAATGATAAACGGATTAATAGAGTCGAAATTTAATTAGCAGACATGATTTTTTATGCAATAAGATTCGCTTAATAAAATTAAGCAAGTGTTCAAAGGAAGCTCTAACCAATGGATCCAGATCATTCTATTGACTACTGAAAAATCACTTCCGTAACTATATTAATCCGTACAAATTTGAGTAACTTTAATTTTATTTTAAATTAACCTTAATTTTATTAATGAAGAGTAATAAAGTTTCATATTCTTTCACTTCATCCACAATGCAATTTACCGCTTTGATCACTTCTTCATAATCTGATTGTAATCTTTCCGTGGCAAATTTACGGTACTTTGCACATAATTCACTTTTTTCATTCATTTCAAGCCTGCAGTTATGACTTGCAATCAGAGATTTTACGTTTAATAATTTGTGTTTGAATGGATTATTCGAAAATTCTGAAATATATATCTTGGATGCGATTTACTAGAACGGATGTTACGTAAAGGATAAACTTGCTGGAAATTACTTATGAAATATTTGCATACGGCAAGCATAATTTCCGTCGTACTTCTCTTACAATTTATCCACTACATCATAGTATAAAATCATTCTAGTAAACTGTGCACAAATGTATGTACATGTCTCCGAAGCTTCGAATTAAGCCGTGAGAAAACAAAACGAACCACGTATCACGCACGTTACGCGATGCTAACTGGCACAAACGGTAGTCCTCGAGCACCACCAATTCATCATGCAGAAACAGTTATCACATACGACACGCAACAGCTCATGACTCGATATGCAACACTAAGTCCCTCGGGTTGATTTCCTTTTTTCCGATTGTTTATTCCGGTCATCATTGATCATAATTGAATTTTGCTCCACGATTGCACATGCTAATCTTGCTAGTTCCGAAATGACACATTCACTTCATCCCTCGCAAATCCAATGTACGCATAATTTGAATTTACGCAACCAGTCAAATCACCCGCTCGATGCTCGAACAGAGGTCATCCGCTCGACACTCGAACAGAGGTCATTATCCGCTCGATACTCGAACAGAGATTAGTTTTTTTAGGTTCATACTTGAGTGACTGCTCTGTTTTCATTCGAAGTGATGGTCGTGTGACTTGGCTTTTTAACTTATTTGTTACGCTATTTGCTTACATATATCATCCATACGCTGTTTCCTTCCTCCATCATCCATACGCTGTTTCCTCGTAAAAGCTATTATGTTATTCTGGAAATGTGGAATAATTTGATTTTTGATTAGATTTTATTTGATTTTCCAGAGAAAACGATCAATAATGAAATTACTTTTAACTCTGTCACATCTATCATTCTTTCAGATATGTCAGATTTGGAATCAAGATTGTTGTATTCTAATACGGCTGGTTATTGTAGTAGTAGTGATGAAGATGATATGAAAGTTGATAAAGCTGAAGATACTGTGCAAAGGTATCATAACGAAGATGCAGCAGCAAGTCAACTGGCACCAAGAAATCAGTGGAATACAGGACCAAAAGGTGTGCTAGAGGATTATAGGATTCATAAGGCACAACATGAGAAGGAGGAATCGAAGAAATATGAAGAGGTCCTCTAGTGCTTCGTTCTATTTTATATTCTTCTACATTAGTTGAAATTTAGGTATTCAATGATGTTTTTTTTTTTTTCCAGTAGACGAATATTTAGTAGTATATTCAATATTTTATCAATGTTTTATCATTTCAGCATCCTATCATGTGAGTATATTACGGTCTAATTACTATAAGAGTTTTATGGCCTAATTGTTGCAAATAAAAGTCTTTCTGTAACAAATTACTTAGAAGTTATATAGAGCAAATAACGTAAGTAGCTGACCTCAGATAATTTATGTAAATCGAAGGCTCATCAGAAATACATCAATAATAACGTGGATGACAACTGCAAAAGCATAAATAATGTAAGTGGGTACGAATAAAGCAGCAATTGAATCTGCCTGTGGTAGAGGAATGTATGAAAGCTATATTTCATCTTTGGATTATCACTTTGTTCTTTTCTACATGTCGACTATTAGTCGTGCAAAATAAATTAATACTTATTTTGTTGATACAGTAAGTTCAATGCAAGGTATTAGTCAGCTGAAAAATTCTTGAAATGTACTTAAATCGAAAAAGACGTTAATATTAATATACTGACTTATATATTATAAATACTATTAGAGTATCTAAAGAGTGATTGATCGTACAGAGTTTACATATCTAATAATAAAATGTCTTATTATCTGTGAGAGTTTTATGGAAAATCTGTGACTATGGCGTCTTTCAGCTTGTTGCTCAAGCCAAAATGTGTACTTTGTCAGGAGAGTCGGAAAATGACGATCTGGAAGAGATTCGAAGAAAAAGATTACTAGAAATGAAGGATAATTTATATGCTGTAGGGAAAGTAAGCTTTTACTGTAATTTTTTTATTCTAAATACGAAATATTACCAATATTTGTGATATATATATTAATCGGATAAGAAACAATTTGCTTTTTACGGCTTCTAGAATACAGGATTGGAAACATGAGCCTATCAATACGCCGTTTTTCTTGAGAAAAATGGCCATATGATAAGATGAAATATTGCTTTCTATTTGCAGATAGATGACTTAACAGATAAGGAGCAATTTCTAAATTTCATCGAATTAAGTCAAGACCGATGGGTTCTAATTCATATTTACGAAGAAGATAACGAGGGTTGTGCGACGTTAAATAAAGTCTTCAATACGCTTGCCGTTCGTCATCCAAATTTCAAGCTAGGCAAAGTGTTATCATCGACGCTTGGACTGTCAGCACAGTTTGTATGTTTAGCATAATTTATTAATATAGTTTATATGCTCTGTATGAATTTAAATTTGAACTCTTTCATTCGATTCAAGTGATCACTTGATAAATTGTGTCAAATTCTTGAAATCGCCGTTTATTATGCTACAGTGATACTGCATATACAACAGAGTTTTTTTATTTTTATGTATGTTTCCATCTGATTGGCGTGCATCAGATGTCAACAGCAGCTGATAAGCATGTATTTTCTTCTTAAAACTGACCGATGAAAGTTTCACTTGAACTAGGAATTTTGATATTTTCTTGCTATTTAATTTCTTTCTTTTAGCATTTATAAGTTTTATACTTTAGAAGATGCAGGGTCTTCCTACATTGCAAGTTTATCGAGATGAGCTATTGGTCGGTAACTTTATTCGTATAACGGATCAGCTTGGAGAAAATTTCACAGCGGATCAGTTAATTCATTTTCTGAGCGAGTTTGTTTTTTTTTTTTATTTTGATAATAATAATAATATAAGATATCACTACTTAAAATTTAATTGTTTACTAAGGTAGCAAAGTATTGTTACTATAAAATCAATCTACATTTCAGTTTATTTTTTTACTTAATTTTATTTTACTTAACTCATACAAAATTCAGCACTTTCTTTAACAATTATGCAGTTATTATTCGTCAGTGATGAGTAAAATGACGCATAGTCATCAACTAATTACCATTTGATTGTTTAATATTTTTGAAGGAGTGAAATCGAGCTAGAGTTATCCAAATATCCGGCATATGCAGAAGACTATTACGGCGATGACGATATTATCATCGATCATGATTATTAAAATATTCTGAAACATCTTAAACATGTTAAAACATACCATAGTTTGTATTCTACTTGATCTCAATTTTTTTGTATTTCATATATCATTTTTCTATTACTCTTTTTTTTAGCTACACTTTCAATGTTCTCTTATAATCGAATTTTAAAGTATGTGGCTATACAGTGCCAGTAAATTTAATTATCTTGAAAGAATGGAACAATCACTGCTTAACTTAGCTAATGAATTGTATTCTGAAAATGTCTATGGAGCTAATGAAATGAGCTTAAAGAAGACTTTTTTTCTAATTGTGCTTAGCTAAAAATTCATTGAACACAAAGACGTGTGAAACTGCTTAATTTTTTATTGGTGTTCTAATCATTTATCCATACCGCATTGAGGGTGTGCATTTATGGAGAAAATGTTAGTAATCCATACAGTTTTAAGTTATTTATTTTCAACATTTGTATTCTTAAATGAATAAACTGCCATATCAATTACGATAAACTGTAACAAACATAAATAACTATATATATGTCCCAACTTGGAACTGTTAAAACATATCGTTTTGGTCATCTCATGAACTATTGAAGGAATGGTGAGATATTTTTGGACTTTTTTTGGGATATAATCAAAAAGATTGGAAAATCGGAAAGAGGGAAAGTTGAAGAAGTGATGATGAGTCTTTGTTATCATTAACTTTTTTATAATGACTGTATTTCATCCCTGCTCTTGATTATGCTATAAAATGCGGTGAAAGTCAAAAGTAATTCGAATTTTTGTGATAATTGATGAGACTTACTAAGGTTCGAATTTTAACAATTTAAGTTTTGTGTCGCTTTTTCCTCTTAAAAATTACATCAGAATTGTAGTACTAGAAAGTTAAAAAAATTATCGGACGAAAATGCTACGAATAAGGTAGGGGGAGAAATTGTTGATCTTCGAATTCTGGAAATTTAAGTTTCTGTTATTTGGGGATATTTAGTTTGAAGGTATATGAATGATTATTTCAGATTACAAAATCTTTAATGTAAGTCATGGATGAGGATCATTACCTGTACTCACCGCTAGGTATTATGTTCGTGACAATGGGTGAGAATCATGAACAAGTCTCGTTCGCTTATCCATTTCAGGGTGATTCCTCGTTTCCATCCGGTATGCTATTTATTTGTATTTATTATTTTGAGGTTAAGTGCTTTAATCGTTGAATTTTGCAGTTCCAGCTAGATATATGACTTCATAATTCATCATTCAGACATTAAGTCTATTTGTACTTATTGGCAGACAAAAAATTTCAAATAAAAAAGAGTTTTAAAAATAACAAACAAAGCTAAAGGAGGAGAAAATTTTACAAATTTATACATTCTTTGTTTTCTTTCCAGGATCACAATCATTTTCATCTTCTGAACCATGTGGAACATTATACGCGTAAGTTTAATTATTTTCCAACTTAGCAATCATATATAAGAACATCAAAGAATCTTTTCGAATAGTGTTTGAATAATTTTCATAATGAATAAATTTAGTAGAGTCGCTAGAAAAGTTCTTAGAGAAACTGTACAATGTAGTATGTTAAAGCTTTTGCGCTAGAGTATCATTTAAATATTATATTGAGTGTTCTTGATTCATATATTCATGTAAATAGTTTTTTCAATTTCTAGGCAATCGTTAAGAAGCGGTGATGAGCGAAATAAGTGTGATGCAGAACAATATGGGTATATTTTGTTGTAATTTTCATTTCAACTAACATTAACGTTTCTTAAAATTTCGATAAATTTTATTCTTATCATTCTTAAATTCATGCGATCAAAGCATTACGTACGCTCTAAAAGATTATTAATGCGCTGTTTCCAGGGTACCAACAAAAATTCTTGCCCATTTACTCTCTGCTAGAGGTATTTGTGAGAAACCATTTGAAATTAAAATTGACAATATACGATTTGCTGGTTTCCCGAAGACCGTAAGATTTACTCATTTTTATTATACCTGTATTTCCATTTTTACTCAAACACACATACCTAAAATTATACTTCACGTTATTATGGAACAAATTTGCTTTTCTGTTCTTTAATAAAGAGTTCTTTGATTATTCTAAGTTTTAAAAATTGAATTAAATATGTAAGTATGCGGCACCTAAATTATTTTCAAAAAGTTATATTTCTCCAACAGAACTTCTCTGATTTTTTTTGCCGCTGGAACAGAGTAAAGTAAAATGAACAAAAGTTGATTATTCTTTAATGTAGTAATCTTAAGGTTTCACATCCAACTGGTCGTTCACCACAGACATTTCATGTTGTTTTCATTTTAATTGCAAAGGCAGCAGCTGATCTGGTTGCGTCATTTCAAGAGCTCAGGCACATCTTCTTTATTACAAATTAGAATTTTAAGCCAAAAATACATAAGAACTTTAAATTAATCCAGGAAAATACTTTTCATAATTTGAAAATATTGATTATTCTCTTTGATATTTTTAGTCGTAAAATTGCAATTGCAATTGATGAGGAACAAACACGTTGCAATTATTTGGCAGAACAAATGACAACGATATTAAATGAACATGAAAAAAATGAATCTGTTCCAGGAGGTAACTAACATATCATTCTGTCTGTTTGTTTAGTTTTGGCATATTACTCGTAAACTTTATGTAAACTAGTAATTGAAGATTAAAATATTTTTATCTTTTAGTTTAAATTTAGGCCAAGCATTTCCATATCATGAAGTGCTGGCACACTGTTCATTGGCACAGGATCTTCGCGATATATTCAGTGATGTCAGCGAATATGGCGTAGTTCATATTTTCCTAAATGATTGCGTTGAAGTAGGCTTTTGTGTTGAACAACGTGCGCTTTTACATGCAGGACTAACACCTAAAACGAGGTTAATATGAATTTGCAAACTATTTCACGATCAAAGGTTTATTTGTTTTGTAGGCTTTTTTTCTTGCCTGAAAACCTTTAGGAACATTGATGTTATAGCTTCTGACAATTGTTCCTGTCATTTAAAGGAGCGAAATTGAGGCGACTATCCTACGCCTAAGGCCATATCACGGAATTTTACTACTGGAAGATATTATACCAGGACATGACTCTAATCCAACATTGCATTTTTTCCTAAAACATTGTCATCCGGATCAAAGGTTTATTTGTTTACTAAACTGTTTTTTTTTTCTAAAAGTATGATCAAAATAAAAAAAAATATGATGTTAAAATTTTGAATTGATTTGGTCAGAGTTCAAATATTCTTTTTTTTTTCTTCAGTCTAATCAGCATCAGCGATTCATCGGGTCTTCCACTGTTTCAAGTTCTTACCGTAGTCAGACATTTGTTATTATGGGCACGCGCAATTGTTATATATCCATTATGCACTAGTAATATTTATACTTCTGCTACTTCACCAAAACCGTTATCAAGGTTAACTTTCAGTTTCTGCAATTTCCCTTTATGATAGAAAATAAATTTGTGGAACTTTGTTGCTCAGTTGACCATAAATGAGCATCGTCTTTCGTGATTATTTGAATTTTAAAAACTTAAAATTGTCATTATTTGTAGTTTCTTCCTCTAATGAGAAAAATCAAAATCTTTATGTAAAAAAATTAAGAAAGTTATTAAGATAAAAAAAGAAATCAAATTTTGCTTAATCATGTGTTGAACTGATCAGAACCATTAAATATCTACTATTATCATTCTTTAAAATAGAGCTTCTTTCGGTATTAGACTCACTACACATCACGTACAATATGTATCGGATCTTATCATAATATTCTGTTATGGCTTTTATAGCCCTTGGTAATCTTGATTATTCAGATATTAAAATGATAATGTCTTATAGCTTTAGAATCAGATACAGAAAATAACTGTTTTTTTTTTCTTTTTTCAAGATTAACTGAACAGTTTGGTGAAATTTTTGAAAATGCTCATTTACCCACGATATTGGCGCAATTTTCTCCACCGTGTACATTAGCGGAATTCATGAATGCTCCAATGAACAGTTTCAATGAACAGGTATGCTTCATCCTAGGATAATGGTTGCGAAAATATTGAAAAGCTTTATCATAAATGATTTTCTATGAAATATTTCACTTCAGATTTTCATTTCCCTCCAATATATTAGAAATACTATCATCAAGAAGTTCATTATTGAAGTCTAATTTATATGGGCCGCTTGCAAACGGCTGACAATAGCAACTTTATAAATCCGTTCGTTTGATAGTGATGGTGATTTCAACTTTTTATAAAATAAAAATAAACTTTTGACAAAAAGAAAATGCGTTTTTGAAAATGAATATACCATGGAAAACGAATATGGAATTAGTGGAATATTCTTTGCAAGTGAAACCTTGCATCTATATGAAATGATCATAAAAAAATTCACGAGATCGTGCCACGAGAATGAGACTGAATTTATTTTCTCAGTCATTAAAGGGAATTTCAAACAAGTATTTCTGACAATGAAATCACAACATACAAATAAAGTATATTTGCTATTTAGATTCATATTATTCATGGAAACACTCTTTTCAGCAACTTCGCATACGAATGGTCGCACGACTATTACGAGATCAGCTAATTGTGCAACTTCATACATTCCTTTATTTGATGTCACCATTTTCACATGAAACTGTCTACGAGTTCGTTTTTTTTTTTCTTTGAATAAGGCGAAAAAAGTGATAATAAACTTTCTGTAACTTTTTTAAGGTCTGTTATGGATACAGAGCAAGATGAAAACTTGCACCAGTTATTATCAAATGCGATGCTGACAACTGAAATTAAAGCTTCAGTGATTCAAGTATATAAGACGATGCTCAAGCAACATTCAAAGCAATATGCTGAAGATTTGCTTGAACTATTTTTAAGGTAAGATTTCAGTATTTCAAGGATTCATCCGAAAAAAAGAATATTGAAAAAAATTTTTCAGACTGATACCGTACTTAAGGGGTGAGAATCATATCGAAGATATAATGTATAGAATGAATTTGGAACGATCATCCGTAATGCGTGCTTTGGATACATTTGCTTGCGTGATTGCGCCATTCATGAGACCGGAATATATTTAAATAGCGTTTGCATAAAGCACCTACTTCTTCTTTTTGTTATTCTTATTCGAAACATCTTTTTTAAAATCAAGATTCGATTACTGAAAACAGCTTTGACAATTCCTACAGTTTTTTTGAAAAATTTAGCTTGCATGAATTTCTGATGGATAAACGGTTCAGTTACCTATTTTTAAGTTACTTCTGTTTATCAATTAAAGCTATGAAAATTCTTAAATTTTTTGATCTACGTTAAATTCTTCGATTTAAAAAATCCTCTTTAATTTTATTCTGTAATTCCGCTCATCGTAAGCAAGAAGAATTCTCTAATGTTTATAAGAGTCGTCCGAAATAATCTTCGTATACTGAAGTATTTCATTTTTTGTCATGCTTGAGGACATCACTAACGGCAAAAAATAAACGCATTTTACGAAATAGCGATTTTGATTCTGTTTATAATTTTCCATAAGAAATTCTTGTATAAATTTATTTAGATCTTGAAGAATCAAAATAACATTTTACTATTCGTTTGAGAAAACGATATTTTCAAAATTCAGCAACTTCTCTCGTTTCTTTCCATGTATAACGCCTAGTCTCTTCTCTTCCTCGTCAATCTTCTTCCAGTCATTCCATGTCAGATATTCTATTTTCCGTGATATTAACCGTTGATGGGAACCCGTAATTTGCGCAGTTTTCAAACCATATTTTTGTAGATCGGAAGTCAGTCGATCAGCTACATTGCTGGCATTCATCTAAATAAGTCATAAAAGGATCTTAAAGTGCAATTTATAAAAACAATTCATAAATAATTTGGCATCCATATACATGTAGAACGAAAAAAATAAGAAAAGTAGTATATCTCTTATGTATATTTAGCTAAATATGAATAAATCTCAGATCTGCATATAGTATTTATGTACCAAACTTAACTATTTGATATAAAGTAGTTGCACGTGTATGTATGCCTTTTTGTTTCATACAGAACAGATATCAGATGAAACCTGCGTATGTGCAATAATTCCTTGAGGTGTATGTACGCACCAGCCTACAGCATAAACTAAGAATTCTTCTTCCGTTGCTACGCGAACAGTATCAAGCATTTTGATTTCGCCATTTGCATTTACTGGTACTCCATCTAGAGCAACATTTTCAAATCCAATGCAGCAAAGTAGTAAACCACATGGAAGATCTTCTTTGTGACCATTCAGTGAATGAGTTACCTGTAGTGCTTTGACTACTCCACGATCATCCGTCACAACCTAAGACAACTATTCCCATTTCATCTCGAAAAGAAGTTTCGCAATAATATTAAATAAAAAGCATAGTTAATATAAAAACACTTCTGGAAGATAACAGGAATTCAGTGACCCTAAAGAATATTGAAATAAGTAACAATCAAATTCGAACTAAGTGAGGTTGAATTAAAACTAAATCAAGAATTATGTAAGTTAATGAAGCTTAGAGAGTGATAATTTCTTAAAAACTATGACAATTTCTAGAAAAGTATCATAGCTATCTTTTCTAGATTTAAAATAAGCCTTTGTTGGCGTCCTTCGAAACAATAATCGGCACAGACGATCAGATCCCGGTTTGTTCACATGGCTGTTATTTAAAATCAGTTCCGCAATACGCTTCTTTGGTCTTGCTAATGTCTGCTGTGACTGTTTTACAGTGAGGAGATCAGAGTTTTCAATTTCTACAAAAAATGAACAATCTGGCAGTGTAATTTGTTCTCGCAATTCTTTTATGGTGAATGAAACCTGCAACGAACATTTTAAAATTAAAGTCAAAATTCAGAAAATAAAGTTTTATAAAAAAATATGAAATGTAGTTGAACAAAGCTCATGAATGCAAGCTACAGAGCACATATCAAATTTCATTACTGTTAATTCAAGAATTAACTAACATCGAGTAGGCCTCTTCGGCCAATAATGGTCACATGACGTATCTGAGAACACGAAAGAGTATCCAATACAGATGATGGGATATCGGTCCTCAATAACCGATCCATTCCGGATGAAAGTATCACACGTGAACAATCCAACGCCACATTACCATTACCAATGATGATCTGAATTAATTTTCAAATTAAGTCCTCTTTGAAAGAAAAATGTATTAAAAACATGAAAAGTAAGTAAATGAAAAAATCTACTAATTCTCTAGTCAAATTTCTACTCAAACTGTCACCGCTTCTTTGCAGTTCAAAAGCGGCGTTTTGATACCAGACATTCCATTATACCAAAATACAAAGTCGCCACCCGAAAAAACATTTATCGCATCGATTCCGGGAATCTTTAATCGTCTCTGACGTCGAGCGCCGTATGCTAATACTACAGCATCATAATCCGAACAAAGTTCGTCAAACTTGACATCCCGACCTATGCAAACATTGCAAAATAGCTTCAGTCTGCAAAAATGAATTTTGATAAAAATTTTTAAAGCCAATAGAAAGCAAGTGAGAAAAAAAAGAAAGAAACATCTGTGAAGCGTATAGTTTTAATTTGGTATACATGTGAATAAACATGAAATATCACATTCACAGAATAGCGATTGACAAATCATATAATTAGTATTTTCAATAACTAATCAAATACGTAGACCCAATATTCAGTATAAAATTCAGATGAGTAACCCAAATTAAAAATTTTCACTTTATGATCTTAAACAGTGAAAATTTCAAGGTCAGTATGATCCGAGGTTCATTTACAGTAAGGCTTATAAGTAACTTAGAAGTTAAGTGCTGAACGGAGCTAATTAATTATATAGTAATGAAATCATTAAAGCATGAATTTCATGCATTCTTCTGATTTCCTCACCTATCTTGGTTTTCGACGAACAATCTGTCAAAATGTGCTATGCAGTTTTTCATTTCAGGATGATCCGGCGCTATTCCATAGCGAGCTAAACCATATGGTACCATGTTACTTTCGTAAATATCCATATAACATTCTGGTATTCGGCGAAGTACTCCAGCGCAAACATATAAACCTGACATTCCAAGGATAAAAAACTCACTGTACTTGCATAATATATTAAATTCTACTTTTTTGTATAACCTATTATCTATTTAATTAGATATCAAAAATATAAGAGAATTAATGAGCATAAATGTTTCAAATTATACTGATAGAGAAACAAGAAGCTTTTTTATTCCCTTTATAGCTATTATTTATTCATTTGTTGCTCATTTTTTGGGTAAGTATAAAACAAGTAACTTTGATTTTTTAAATCAAATGCCGAACGCCATTATCCTGATATAAAACTCATATAAGACTTTTTATTTATAACTAATAGTAACTTGACTGGTAAAATAAAATCAGATGAGAATGCAAAACTTACCAGCTGGTCCAGCACCAACAACAGCAACACGAGGTGGTCTTGGAAATGTAGCAATAGTTCGCCTAGTCCATGTCACAGATACCGAGGTGTACAAATTGAGGGCGATCACTCTTTTTAACATTTTACTATGCAAAAACAACATTTTACTATTCCCATCAAATACTCAAGATAAATTCATCAATACTGTTCCTGGAAAAAATCTTCTATGAATTAAAACCAAATTTTATACTCAGAAGATACGTAACAAAAAAAAATCAAACGACGAGTTTCAAAGCTTTAGGAACTTTCATAATTGCTCATTTCGATTTCTGTCAAATTCATAACTCTTAAAAATTGGACATTTGTCCTTAGAAAAAAAATTCACGTTAATAAAATAAATTAAGGTTACATAACGACCTTATTGTATATTCAGAAGAATTACCGAAATTGAGGTGATAAAATTCGATGTCTTTTCGACTAGTAACGAATGTTGCGTAAAACGCACCATACGATTCACTTTTACATTTTATTGATACAAAAATCAAAACAAAAACGTAAAAAAAAAATCAGAGAGGAAGAAAAAGCATATTTCGAACTTTACAACAATATGGAGGAAAAAAAAATGTCATAAAGAAAGGTTAAAAAGACAAGAAAGTATGGAAGTTTTAACATGAATAAGACGTTGTCTCAAAGTCATAGCATGGAAAATAACAATAAACAATAAAATGTTCACATTATTCGTCGAGATATTCGTATATGTACGGCTGAAATTGAGCGATTTCGAGTTTTAAAATCCACTTCGTCGTATAATGGAAACAAACTGTCCGTAACCTAAGAAAAAGATAAGTTGAAGTAGCAACTATATTTTTTCAAAATTTTTTCTCAGGTGCATAAAGTCCAGAATTATTTATTATGATATAATTATAAACTGTTCATAGAATTTTTACTTACCTTGACAGTACCAGTTTTGACATCTAATTTCACCGTATCAACTAACTTTCGTTGGATTTGTAAGGCAACATTTATCGTCCGGCTAACGGCTGCTCCTAAGCCATGAAGTACAACTTCATCCATCTTCTCATCTAGAAGTCTAATTACGCGAGCTTTTTGAGCTGCGATACTTGTATGCCTGCAAATAATAGCAAAATTTTTCCTAAACTCTTGTGTTGTTCGATTTGCAAATATATTTCAAGATATGAAATCATCCACTCAACATTTATGCCCATTTACATAATCTCACTCCGCTACATCAAAGATAAACGAATCATTGCAATATTCTTTAGATAGCAAAAACGTATGCCATCTAAAGTAGCAAGAATAGTTCGTTTGGGCACACCTTGCAAAATTATATATCAATCGATCCAACAGAGGGTAAGGAAATCATAATGTACATGAACAGTTTACAAACAGAAATGTTTCAAATAATCAATAGATCAGTAAAGATGTAGAAAGAGCTAAATTCAAAAAAAAAAAAAAACAAAAGACAAGTTAACTAACCTTGTTATATAAATGTCATTCTTTCTTTTCGAAAATTGTGGCGGAAGATTCTTTCGCAATTCATATTCTACCTGATAAAAAATCCTACATTTTTTTTGGATCAGTTATTTCATAAATACATGACAAGAGCACGATCTACATTGCTCAACCCTACCTTTTGAATTGGAGAAGCAATTTGTCAAGTTGAATAAAAACAAAATCTCGGCACATAACAAATGTGAAGAAATGATTCGCATTTTCAATGTAATTAGTAAAAATTAAAATAGTTGTAAAGTAAAACAAATCAGCGCGGTAATAGTGACGTTTTTTTTAAAAAATCTTTTGTATACATTGGTTATTACACTGTCCGAACAATACATAATTTTCTAAATCATAACGTTGTCTTTATGCCAAAAATAACTAAGCTAACGATTCTTTCAGCTTGATAAATCGATCGCATGAAATATCAGAAAAATAAAGGACATAGTTTATTAAAGAGTAAAAAACAAACCCAACTTACTTCATCAAAATGTATCATCCCTGTACATCGATAAGTGATCAAAAGAAAAGAACAACGAATGCCATCGAAAAACAAGCAAATGCAATCCACGGACTCAAACGTTCTCCAATTCGAGCACACTTCCAAAAGACACCCAGGAAACTAAGTAAAAATTACTTTAACTTGTCTGAATCATCTTCACTTATATTTTATATATATATATATATCAATAATGTTCTGGATATTAAATAAGAAAAATATACAAGACTGAAGAATAGACAAGGCAATAATCCTGAATATTTTTTAGCTATCTTTGTTATACCCTCTTCTTACGTGATCTATTATATCAGACTCAAATTATGATATATATGTATATATCATTTTCGACACATATGTAAATTAGACATTTTAAACACTGTTCATTATTCCTTTTAAACTTGTCTCTAAAATGTCATGCCGTTTTTCGACTGGTAAAAAGTGTTTGGTACTATTTCTGCTTTTTACACAAAAAGCATTGCATATATTAAAATTCTTTATATAAATAAACTTTGGGAAGATGAAACACAACATTTCCAAGTCTTTATGACTTCGGTCTTTCAAACCAATTCCATTACTATTCTGGCTGAGGATAGACTGAATAAGAGGAGATCCTACACAAATTATTCCAAAATACCTAATCTTGAAAATAGCAATCTATAACGGAGATGAAAATCAACAGAACTAACCCTTCTTTATTACGATCAATGAGTTTCGGTAGAAATGCACGTATATAAGTACAAGTGCAAATTAATAACAAAAGCACGGAGATGAGACTTTGGAAATTGAATAGAGCCGACTGAAATTTAACAAAAATAAGCGTGGATAATTTTGATCAAAATTTACTTGTTAAAATCGAATGAAATTTTTGTTAGTTTAACAAAAAGTACAACTATACTGTTTGGTTCTGGCTTAAAAACTAACTAAAATGAAGATAATTTATTCTCAACCTTATCACAGTATCAAAAATAAGACATTTTTGTTATTCTTGGTAGGCTTTGGCAACAAGTGCGTTTAAATAATTTCATATAAGAAACCTACCAGCTTGAAAAAATTTGCTCTGCAATTGCCCTGAAATAAACATTTATTTCATTACCAGCTACAATAACTAATGAATTCAAGGACATTTAAAATAACACACAACGACATCCATCGTATACTTAACGCTACATACAAACGTATAAACTCGATATTACGTACGATCATTCCAGACTAACTTTATGGCCCATCTAACATAAAAATCGTTCGAAATTATCACAGGAAATTATTCACTCCTGATGTTCCATCTATTTTGCTCTACCTCGTTTAAAAGCAAGTCGCAATATAGTTATAAATATTTTAGACGAATAAGTAAGGAATAGGAGACCACGTGCATCCACGTACAACCCAGTGATGCCACGCAATTCCTTTCTACAAAGAGTACGCCATGAAAATAAATTCCCAGTATAATTTGATGCTGCCGCAAGCGTGAAACAGCTTGTTTCTTTGTTTAAAAGGAATTTTAGTACTTTGAATACAATTAAGTGCTTACTTGAATGCATGTAAGTACAGAAAAAAATTTTAATGGGAATCTGGGAACAAAATTATAAGTGAAATATTTATTAAGTGAGGAAAACTCAATGCTAAAAATTGAAAGCATAAACCATTCTTATAGTTAAGTTTTTACAAACAGCTAATTAATTTAATTACTGGATTTGTATAATGTATTCTCGTTGCTATTTTAAAAATTAACGTTTAACTTTAAAATGTCTTTTATTGAAGAGATAAAAGCACTCTTGGAAGAAAATATCGACAATACTTATTGTTAATGAGGGATGCCAATTTGACCAGTGGAATCGGAATATGTAGAAAATAATATTCTTAGCAAAAAATTTTGATCTATTTAATACTGATAGTTCTTATCTGCGAAATTTTATTCGTTATTCCATAAATTTAATTATTTACAACATTATATTACAAAATAGGATAGCGAAAAGCTTCACATCTCTCAGAAAATAATTTCTCATTGAAATTCTGACTAAACTTTGATTGCATGCCATATTTCATCAGCATTAATTATGCATCGAACATAATGAGCTTATCAAAATCAAAGGAAAATGAGGTTAGAACATTGATAAGCTTTGTTAATAACACACAAAATTGGATAAAAATCAAAAAAGAATAAGGAAAAAGATCCGTAAAAAATTAAGCAACTGGCAAAAGCATGAAATGACATAGATATTTGCAAATACAAAATTCAACTTTAAGAATACGGAGAAAATATTTTTTTAAAAATCTGTGAAAATCAGGAAAAACTTCGACACCAAATTACTGTTATCAAAGTAAAATATATACAACACAAGTGCTAAATAATGTAATGCACTGATATTGCGAAGATAATTAATAAAAGTCTATATTTGGAAATATAGTACAGGAATCTGAAATTTTAAGATTCAATATCAAGACGAAACGAAATAATTCTCATCACAACAACAAAACAATAATTAATAATAACCCGTATCATCTGACTAAATACTATCTGCAGCTATACTTCATTCAAAACACTGTTTGAAAAAATGCTCATCGTCACCCCAATCTAAGTAATACTCATCACGTATCAAATCAAATGTACCATCGGATGAAAATGTGAACAAATTATAGCTTCCATCATCACAAATTGCAACCACAGCCTAAAAAGTTATAACACTTTATCTCGAAGTTAACAAATATCGAAAATTTTATCCTCAAAGTTAGGAAATATTGAAAACAAAGTTAAGAAATATCGAAGATTCAATAACTGAACAGCATCGTTAACACCACATCGACTTTCGCAATTTCAATTTTCGACTATATTTGCAGGTAGTCTTGCTTTTACCGACAGGAAGAACAAATCAAATTCGAGTCAACTAAACTTTCTAATGCTACAAATGATCAAAAAGATCAAAAGAACTTCCCCACAACTTACATGACTTCGTAAAACAAAACGATTTTTGACATTCAATTCTGTGCCGGTTGATTCACTACTATTTTTTATGAAGGCCAACTCAGTAAGGGTAACATTCTGAGTAGCTTTTGATAATTTGAATTGTATCCGCGCACGATCAGCATCCTCTGATACAAGACCAACTTGCTGCCATCTACAACAAAATTTTACACTTTCATCATTATTTTCTGAAGTATTAGTTCAGAAGATCTCCAAAGCCTTTCTGATTTTAACTTTCTAATATATTATACTTCCAGTTTTTTCTAAAAGCAGGACCTACCGACAGACCAAATCAACCCCCATATAAATGGATTTCTAATTAATAATAAAGCAAGGCATTACATATTTTACCAAAAGAGGCTTAACATAATAGCTGTTAAATCATTCACCTGGACATCAGAAAAAAGGACAAGATTTTTTTTTCTCTTTTTTCTTTAAAGTAGCATGAGGAACCTTAGCTAACTTTTTTATCAATTAACCAGAAAAATCAATAGGGAAAAAAAGCGTATGTTGTAAGAATGGACTACTTAAGTTCTGAATTTTCTATTCAAATTTTATTCCCAGTGTAGACAATTTGAATTCTATACAATATTTGATTCGCTTTCAGCGAAATCGAGAATATTCTGACATAAGTTATTACTGACAGTAGTCTCTGTGTAATATTATCAATTTACAGCTAATTATAACCTGCAACTTAAAGTCGATTATACATTCAAATAAAATTTAACAATTCAAATCACTTCAAATAACGTACAATGTTTTCTTGTTCGTCCATGTTGGATCATTATTTTTTACAGCAAAAATATGCACAGTATCTTTATCGCTTGCAACTGCCAAAAAACCAGAGCATGGTGAAAAACGTAAGCTGAAAAGATCTCCAAAATTAGTAAAACGAAAAATTTCTCCTATCGCTTAAAAATAAATACGCCCTCCAACAAATCTTTTACATTGCTTCTTGGATAATTTTCGCTCCTCCGATTAAATGCCATTTGAAGAATACAATATACTTCAAAGAGATAGGACTTATTCACTAACCATAATGTACATCTATGGATATTAACAAAAATATCAAAATAAAATCCTTAGCAATGCTCATTTGACGGAAATGAAGAAAAGAGTTCGATCCTAAATAAATGGAATTTATAAAGATATTTGCAAACTCACAATTTATCGACTAACATCTGTAAACTTTTAGAAAATATCTTACATTCACTTTGATTTCAAATATCAAAATAGATATACTAACCAATGCAAAGTAACAGGGTCAGCGCCTCGCCTGAATTCACGTATTAGTTCTGCGCTTTTCGTATCAAAAATTCGTATCACCGTTCCCTGAAACAAAAATAGAAAAACTTCTATTAGATATTGAAATAGATTACAAAGTGCTCTCAAAAATCCTAAGTAATTTTGATTGGCAGAAAGAAAGGATAAGATTCCAAACAAGAAAGTCTTTGTTTGGATTGCAGTGCACTGTTAATAAAAGCTCTAAGATAATCACGAATAAATTCAAAACTTCTCTTCATTTCAATGAAATAATCTCTTACTTTAGTTGAACCAGTAGCCAAAAGAGTAGCCGTATTATTCAGTGCCAACTGTGCAATATCAGTTTGATGAGCATTGATTAATGTTGGTGTCAAAGTTGTATGCCGCGCAACATCACGTAAATTAATATACTTAAAAAAAAGAAAATTGAAAGAAACATGAAAAATATAACTATGACAAGGCTAGTCGGTATTAATCATAAGTTGTTTTTGATCTAGATTATTCTCTCTTGTTACTACAAATAAGAACTTAATATCCTTTAACTATTTAGTGCAACACATTTTTAAAATCTCAATATACCGAATAGGGTCCTCTTTAAATAAAATTCATAATTTTTGCCACTGAATCGCTGTTTTCAGTTGTTAGCTAGATTGTTGACAGTTTAAACTCACAAAAAAATGAACGTATCTTTCAGTCTCATTAATGTTTTTCTGACTTCGACTTCTCTATAAGTTAATTATTAATATTCAATACTTCCATACCTAAAAAATTTAGAATTATAATCAAAGAAAATTTGGCAAACCTGAACGCTGCCTTTCTGATGTCCTGGATAAATGAGAAGCTCCATATTTGGATCACTACTAAGTTCACACAACCCGTGAATATTCGCTCCCGTTTCAATTGTTTTTACTGGGACCATTTCTTGTGGAAAATTAAATACATGAATTTTTTTTATCCCTACTAGAACCATCCTACAAGGAATAAACAATTAAAAACGAAACATAAATAAATAATATAGAATTATTGATGTTTTCAATTTTACTGTCCAAAAAGAAAAAGAAATTTTACGGATGATGGAGAAGTGAATTGAATAAAAATAAATAATCAATGCAGAAAAAATTTCGCTGACCTCGTTTTTGATATATGGAAATTGAGAACAGGCGATGTGCTCGTGTATTCCATGTAAAAATCATCCTTTTTTCTTTCATCATTCCATACCATTACTGAATACATGCTTTTCAAACGATGTGTAAACATATGTAATAAGTGAACCAGTATATACAACAATGGCTCAGAAGCTATATATAAGTTGATTAACAATTAAAATTATCATTATTCAATATCTAAAATATATCAAATTTTAGTAAAATCTCACTGAAACATTGAAACTCGATTTCACCAGTTTTCGCATTTACCATCCAGTAATTTACTCCGACCAATAGCTATTATAAAGATAGATGGTTAAATTGGCTTCGAGATTCTTCAACTTTTATCACCTTACCGACATTTTCGGCATATTTCGGGCAAAATCCACCACTGACCATTCCAAAAAAATTTGAGCAACCAAGAACTTTGCCAATTCTTAAACTTCCAACGACACGTTTATCTGTAATTATTATTGAATAATTAAAAAATAGATTACAACTAAATATTCGTTCCAGCTAATTTTATGCCTCTCCAACGATGATTACAATTATGTTTCATTTCTATGGAAATTCATTGAAGCCTTTTTTCTCCAAACAACATCCAAACAACATGTAGTAAATGAAACGGAATATAATGATCCTAACTTTCTCTGCAACTATTATCTCATCCCGCTTCTGTTCTTAATTAATTGAAGTTATCTAATTAGTAAATTTGAACATTTGAAAACACGCAAAAACCAACCTAACCGGATTAACTGATGTAATGGATTGCATTGGAAAATACGAAATCCATCTTCGGCAGCTACGGCAAACATATTTTGCTCCGAATTTACAGAAATGCCGTATACTTTTCTCATCCTGAAAAGGAAAAGAATCATTATTTATTACTAATAATTTTAACATTTATTAATACCTACATCGGTGATATAATCGGTTACGTTATTAACACCTACATTGATGGTGTAATCATTTATGAAATTATCAAATTATTTAACCAGAAAAGTAATTACAGTACAAAACTACATGATGTTTTCAGTTGATAAGATTAACTAATATTTATCGACTTAATTGTGAAAATTTTCCAACAGTAACATTATTTAGTTCAATCATAACGTTTAAAACGTTATCGATCAGGGAGGGTTCCATGCACTCTTCAATACAGGACAGGAATATATTGTACATCTTTAAATCTTACAATTTCCTTCATTATTTATAGATATTTCACCTTTCGACAATGTAAAAAGGAATAAAGAGGATCATACATAACTAAACGGAAACGATTTTTATTTCTGAACCAATTTAATAATTCAATAACTTTTCTTTATTATTTCTCTACAGATTGATTAGATCTTTAACTGGAAAAAAAAATTAAAGAATTCTAAGGGAGAAGAAAAGAGGCTACGATTTTTAGTGATATAATTTTGCGATTAGATCAATCAAATCTTTCTTGCATTATTTCTCTAACAGATAGAAAAAGAAATAAATTTATTAAACCTTTGACTGGAAAAAAATTGAATCAAAATGCTTTTACTATCGGATCAAACACACAAAAAAGATTGTTCGGTTATCGATCGATAACCAATCAATCCTATTTGTTTTTGGCACGACGAATCCATTTAACTGAATCAATTGGAATGCCTTTCAACGGATATTAAGAAACAAAATCAAAAACGGACAATCGAATTGTGGTACTCGCTTCCAGGTCACGTACGTGGTATAACGTACGTTTAGTAGTATTCCTATTTCTTGAACGTTCAGCGATATGCCATACTTACAAGTACTGTAAACAAAATGATGAAAATAATTTTAGCTGTGAGTAGCGGATTGAAAACGTTGACATGATTTAATTTCAATGCGAGATGGGGCGGGTAAAATGCATGCTCTTTACATTACTCTGTTGAAATGTGACGCACATGGCTGTCATTTGAATCGATTATGTTCTACTAATTGTCACGGATGAATTTTGGAAATCAATTTAATTTGAATTTATTTCGCTGTCCCATAATAAGTCAAATGATAGTTTCTAGTGCAGTCGACTGTATAATTTATTTTGAATTTATTTATTTCGTACGTTTCTTGAACCAAAATAAATTTTACGTTTCTTGAACTAAATGCATGTTTAATTTTATCAAACGTTTAATGCGACATATAGAAAATTTACAAAATTTACAAAACTTTGATTCGTGATTTTGCAGTTCTTTCACATTTACAAGTTTGTTTGATACATTTCTATCGAGTGGTATTTTTGAGACGTTTTATCTACTTTCACGTTTACGACAAATTTGAAAAACCAAATGTCACGTGAATTTCATTCAAATTAGATTGCGGTTTTCCAGAAGCTGTGGAATTTTTTTCAAGGATGTCACGTAACATTATTCGTAAATCGGATTATGGTGCTCCACCAGCTAGGATGTCAGCTGGAGCTCCTCCTAGTCTTCCAGTGCGACGAGCTTCCAAAGGTTTATGTTGTTATGGGATCCTGCCACTTAGTGACAATAGAAATCAATCGATTCAGTACTCATACTCTCTGATGTATTTTAGTCTTATTAGATTCAGAGTAGAGATTCTGCTACTGTAAGATTCAGGCTGTGCAGAAAATCCAGAATTAATTATCACTTCGAAGATTACTATTTTTTAATTTTTAGGTGGCTTCAGAAATGTTCGTCTTACCAGCGCTGTTAGCCGCAAACGACGATCTGAGGGTAATCTGGAAACGGAGGATTCGGATTCGGAACAAGCATCCACAGCCGATGACCAAGATGAGATTGGAAGTGGTGATGATGTAAAAAAGGAAGAAGAACAGGAAGAGAAAATCAAGAAAACTCCACGTAAAAAACGTAGATTTAGGTAAATATTAATAATTCGATTTGGTTAATGCTTTTAAATTCTCGTTGAGTAACTGCTGTTTTCATTTAGAAGTTATAATTCTTGTTTGCAATTATAGGTTAACGGATTCAATTGCAAAGAGCAAAAGACGAGCTGAACGAAGAGCACAGTTAGCAGCCGAACGTAAAGAGCGTGAAGAATCCAAGCAGCAGCAGGAGGTTAATCTTTTCATAGCATATTAATGTATTTTATCTCATTTCTGCTATAAAAAACTATTCTCAAGTTGGCCTAGATTCAGATAATTGGAAGAAGAATTTTGAAATTTAGTTCCTTTTGACTTTAGGTTTATTTTTGGCTCTATTTTTTCTAAACGTAAGGAATTTATGTATAATTTCTCTCAAGTAACCAAAACTTTCAAAATAAACCACAAGATTAACCTTGATAATCATTGCTTTCAGGACGAACTTAATGATGAAGTGAAAGAGCATTCATCGACACCGCCACCTCTTCCGAAAGCATCAACGGTACTTACTTATTCACCAATGCAGCTTTTCTGCGATAACTTGTTACGCAGAATGAAAGCCAAAGATCCGGATGAATATTTTGCATTTCCAGTAACACAGTAAGTTTAGTAGCCCTCATTTTCTCTTCCCTTATAAAGTTACTTTCAAACTAGATATTTTATAAAGGCTATGAATGCTTTCCTGGCAAAACTATTTTCTTTTAGTGAGAAGCATTGACTGAGTTAACTTTTCTCGTGAAGATTCATCAAATCATCAAATTTTATGAGTTTTGTTAATTGAAAAAAAAAACTTTGGAAGAGTTTTTTTGGATTTTTTTCATTTATCAGAAGACAAATGTTAAATTCAGATCAATGGCACCAGATTATCATGAAATAATCAAAGAACCGATGGATTTTGCAACAATTCGACAAAAAATTGATCGGGATGAATATCCAGATGTCGCAGCACTTAAGAAAGATGCCGAACTGATTGTTCATAATGCAATGGATTATAATTCACCTGGAACTGTATATCACATAGCAGCTCAAAAAATGGATCAAATTGTACAATTTTATTTTTCGGAATCATATTTGCGCTATCTTTTTCATGCTCTTCCATTTAGTAAGGTAAATTTCTCTATTTTTCGTTTATTTGATTACTTTAAGTAATTTAGGAAGTTGAACGAAAATTGTTTTATTTCAATTACTGCTTTTTAATTGATTTTTTAATTGTATCATTACTAGTGATTAGTCAATAGATTTATTTCATTCTTAATAATATTTTACAAGGAATATTTTTTTTTAGATTTTGGATTCGTCAGCAATACAAAAATAAGAAGGGGGATGCAAAAAATTAGGAAATCGCAAGCAGTACAACGTAGTGAGTGATAGGGATAGACTGATTGATTAGAATCTTAAGGTTGAACATTTAATAAAAGCAGTCCTGTAGCTTTCATGTCTTCCCATTCAGTTTTTAAATTTTTAGATGATATTTATTGATTCAGCAGTGGTACTTCAAGATTTAAGCAAATTATATTTTTAGGAAATTCCGCTGGAAAAGTTAGGTCTAACGTTGAAAACAAGGGCGCGGCCAATACCAAAAGCGGATTACAAAACTGCCGTTGTCGATGATGCAACTCCATCAACCGTTTTGGAAACAGTAGATCCATCTTTGAAACAAAAATTATCCAGTCGTATTCCCGATCTCAGGGTTTTCCCTGCTGGTAAAGAAGAGGATGGCGTGGAACCAAAAAGTCACCTCGCATTTTTAGATAACAAGGACGGTGCTATTTGTTTGAATGTTATCAATCCCAGTTCATCTGAAAAAAAAATTATCACCCTAGGAGACATTGTGGGTAAACTAGAAGAAGGTACACCAGGACTTTGCGCTCCACAAGAACATAAGTCCAATCATCAGGTTTGTCGCATCATATTTCAAATCATAAATATCTTTGTCGCCACCTTAATATTATCATAGGAGTGAGCATAATTATCACCCTATTTGTTCTTCCTAAGTCGCCAGATGGTGTCGATTCTATTGTTGCTGCAATTAATCTATTTTTGGATACAAATTGTGATTTTGTCCGATTTTTATGTTTATTTTATCTTTAAATTTCACATGCATTATTACAAAAACTTATCTTCCAGTTAAGTATTAATTGTAAAAAATATTTCTAGGTTCCAATTTCTTATGTTTCTTATGGACCATTCAGTTCTTTTGCACCGCAGTTTGATTCTACGTGGGCAACACTTTGCGAACGGGATTCCCGTTTGCTCTTGGGCACCTACGGCGATAGGTCAGTTTCAATAAAATTTAAAGAATCAGTCGAGTTTTATGGTTGCAGAGTTTTCTTGTTATTAGTAAGCATGACATGTGAAGAATTTGTTTTATTTGTTTTCAGTATAAATATTTAAAAGCTTGGAGCAATGATGTGCTATTTATGTTTACATTTTGTTTTGAGGAAGTTAAATCTTTTTCCGCATGGTCTGCAACCTTTTCTGAATAAATCCAGAACTTAGGAATCTTGTTGGTAGTTGTACGAATAATTTTAAAATAAGTTATAGTGAACAAATTTTAGAACTAATGTAACAAACACAGTATCTTTACGAGAAATGGTTGATAATGCAGGTGAATACATGATCAAAGTTGTCGACGATTTGCTCGATACTTTAACAAATGGTGAGCACCGCAGGACTATCAAGGCCGTGGAAGCTGACATGGACAAAAGCAGTGTAAGAATATTTTTTAGCAACATTAGTTGCAAAAAGTTACTCA